TATCCACCACCACCACCACCACTGGTGCCCGCCAGCCATGCCGCAGCCCGCTTCTCCCTGCCCGCCTCGCTTCCCGGTTTCCACCTGTCGTGGGCCTCCGCAGCCGTGCGTTTAGGGAATTAGCACCGGGAGCGTGAAGTAGACCCGTTATTACAGCGGTAAAAAGGCGAAATATAAACTATGAAAGTAGCTAAAAGGGCTAGGTCGGTGTTTTCTTTGAGAATGTGGTGTTAGGGGCTGTTGGCAGATCAGGGCTTTGACTGGGAAGTCACGCTGACTTTGGGCCTTGGATGGCTAAACTCCGGTGCATAGAGTGTTCAGCTTGCCTAAGGAAGCAGCCGGGTTTTCCCCTTATTAGCCGAATGTTAATAGCCTTCAACCCTGCTGCCTGGCCAGGCAGGGGTCCTTCAGCCTTGGGCTTACCCAGAAGTTGGCTGAAGAGCAGGAATACTCTCCTATCCATAGGAGAGCATGTGGTCAAGATGAGGTCTTGTGTAATGAAGTCCTCTCATGGACTCAAAGGAGTGCTTTTCTGTTATTACTTAAAGATGCAGTTGCCAGTAATTCTTTTATAAGGACCTTAATTAGCATTGCTGTTCTTAGATTTCCCTCAGAAATCTTTGTAGATAGCTAATACATATATATTAATCATGCACGCTTAAGATGTATGGTGAACTTGGCTTGATGGTGTTTCTCCAAACACTTCACTAATTACACAGTTGTAATAGAAAGGATTAAGTGTTTGGTAAGTTAGTTTATACATATATATGTCAATTTGTATACGATACTCCTTCTTGTATTCAAGTTTATTATGCAATCACCCTGCTAATTATAGCAAATTGTGACCTTGTACAACAAAGGTTGTAACCTTTTCAGAATTTACTTAAGCATTCCCACTTTACAACTGAAAAAAATATACATATATGAAGGCATCTTTCTGTCCAAACATACAGAAGAATAGCAGTGATCCCTTTCCATTTATTTAGGCCCTCCAGATGAAGAGCCTGAAGTCGGAACAAATGTTTTGGAATGATTGTTGAAACACCACAGGTACAACAGGAAATCTGTGCGTTTTACAAGGAACACTAACAATATGAGGAGAAAGAGGATCATAGTTATCTTTAAAAATATATTACCTTTTTGCGTTAAGGTAATCTATTTAATATATTAATTATGTTTTGCTGTCTAGAGAAACTTGACGAATCTGTTGAGGACCTTATTCCCATTTGGCAAATCAAAACTGGATCTACTGGTCTGATATACCCGTGTAGTCTTCATGATTTCACTAAGTCCTCAGAAATCAGTGTTTGCCATATAGGTGTAAAAAAAAAAAAAAGTGACTGATGAACTGGAATACAGGATTGGAATCTGCTGGTTTTAGCAAGTCATAAATCAGTGCAGGTCCTTTATAAGTACCAGTGAAGTTAGCAATAGGATGTGTCATATTAGTAATGCTTTAAATAGTGCTGCAAAACACCAAGGAATTAATCACGTGGGTTTGTGCTCATCTAAAATATCAGAATTTATTTTCCAACTAGTTATTTGTTTCACTTGTTGAGGCAAAAAGCTGGTAATTTCTTTGCTGACAATACAATTAAAAATTATTCTAAAGCAACAGCCACAGAAATAATTTGTACTGGCAGAAAGATGCTTTTTGTGCTAAAGTTGCATCAACCTAGATGTTTAATTATTCTGATTAGAGGCAAGACATTTTGCTCCTTGCGCTACTGGTTAAAATAAATACCCCAGTAGAATTTCAGCATAGCTTAGTCTTTCCCTGTTCATGCGCATACTGTGGTTATTGGAAATCTGAGCAAAGTTATGTTGGTATATTATAATCTCTTTTTTTTTTTTTTTTTGTATTCATAAAGCTGAATTACAGATTGCTGAGGCTGTTGCTCTTGTAGATACCCTTCCGAACTGGACGGTTTTAGATAAAATAATTATTCCTACAAAAAATCCTGACAAGAAGTTTGTTTTTGGCAAAGGAAACTTTCAGGCTTTGACAGGTAAGGACTGAGATTTTTCAGCACTGCATCATTCTAAAAGGAAGCATTCCACAGCTGAACTGTTTAAGGATAGGTAATGAAAGCTGAAGAGAGAGGGAACTTTGTCCATAATGCAGGTTTGCAAACAAACTTCAAAGAATTTTTTTAAGGTTACAAAAGCAACACAGGATAGAAATAACCCATGCACACTGAAAATGTGGGAGGAAACTTAATCCCTACATTTATGTGATTGACATAACTGAAACTGGCAGCTGTTCTTGACATAGTACTAAATTAGTGCAAATACAACTGTTCTGTGAATAAAGAATATAATACCATTTGATATTTTACGAGCATTCTGCTCAGTGCAAAATGGTTTTATATTCAGTATCTTTTAAAAAGAGAATTGACATTTAATACTGTATTTTGTAATGGTTATCCATCTTTTAGAAAAGATTAAAA